ATGTCCCCCCTGTGACATATAATTCTTACTATTCAAAAAGTGAACTCCTACTCACGCGGAGGAAGCCTAACAGGCCATTAACTTGGTTGAAACAAAGTTCCAAATTGCCCCCATTAAAAATCAAATTGCCCCCCTGTGGAGTGTGGACCCTATGTTGGGAACCACTGGGTTAGAGTACACACGGTCTAAAGTGTTCTTCTGTCTGGTGGAGAACTGTACATACTGCATGAGTATGAGAACTGAGGGAGAACTGTCTTTAGACACGCTTGATTGAAGTCCCCAGCCATGACAAAAGTGCCCTCTGGATAAGTTTGCTGCTGCCTGGAGATTTTTTTTTTTTTAATTGAATTTAATTTATATGCCGCCCTTCTCCGGAGACTCAGGGCGGCTTACAATGCGTTAAGCAATAGCCTTCATACTTTTGTATATTTATACAAAGTCAGCTTATTGACCCCACAACTGGGTCCTCAATTTACCTACCTTAGAAAGGATGGAAGGCTGAGTCAACCTTGAGCCTGGTGAGATTCAAACTTACAGTAATTGCAGACAGCTGGTGTTAATCACAATGCTATTAGTCTGCTGAGCCACCAGGCTCTGATGATGTCGTATAGCTTAGTAAGCACCATGCTGACATTGGCATCAGGTGGAATATAAACAGCTATTATTATCACAGTGATTTCTCTAGACAGATAAAATGGCCTACATGTGACAGTCATCAGTTCCACATCTGGGCAGCAATGCATATAGCAGCAATGCTGTTAATACACCAGTCACTGTGTATATAGATACAGAGTCCTCTCTTGCTTTTACCAGAGTCGCCATTTCTGTTGGAGCGATAAGTGACAGGCCCAAATGGGGCACGGGTGCCTGCACACTCCCCTGTGCCCCATTTTGGCCAGCAGGAAGGCAGGAGGTCGTCCGAATATAGGGCATGCAGAGGCCCCCCACGGCCCCCCGTGCTCTGTTTTGGCTGGCAGAGTGCTGCAGCAGGCCATCCAGACTGGAAATGGGGCGTGCAGGAGTCATGCCCCCCTCCCCATTTTCACTAGCAGGGGCACCGTGAGCCGGTCTTTTGCTATTTCCAGGCCGGTCTCACAAGGCAGATTTGAGCACCCCTGCTAATGACACTAAGATTCCCATCAGTGATAATATTGTCATGGATTGTTATAAAATCAGGATAATTTAACCTAGCAGTTTAAATATTAGTTTAAAGTACTGAAGTAATGCAGGTACCATTTCCCCCCAAAATAGGACCTACCCCCAAAACAAGCCCTAGCCTGATTTCTTTGGAATGGGTCTAATTTAGACCCATATGTGATAGGCACATATCGTAGATATGTGCCCATCAGGCTTCCGAGCATTCCATCAGCTGAGAGCTCAGGGCAGGAGGGTGGCGGTTATTATAAAGGAAGGTCTTGATCTGAGGGAGACCACTGTTCCACAGATAGCCAGATGTGAGTCCCTTTTTGTGAAGTGGGGCCGTGGAGTACAGATGGGCTTGTTGATCACGTACCTGGCTCCTTTCCACGTGGCAACAGCCCTGCCCGAGCTGCTCAACGTCATAGCCGAGGTGGCGGTTGATACCCCCAGACTTTTAGTCATGGGGGATTTGAACCTTCCATCTATCGGTGAAACGTCTGAGGTGACTCGAGAGTTCATGGCTTCCATGACAGCCATGGACCTTACTCAGTTAATTCATGACCCTACTCACACGGGTGGACACACTGGACTTAGTTTTTGTCTCTGGTCAGTGGTCGAGTGGCCTTGATACAGGGGATATAATCATCTAACCCTTGTCATGGTCTGACCACTCGCTCCTTCGACTGGACTTTCTAACCGCTGCACCCCGCTGCAGGGAGGCGGGACCGACCAGGTGGTTCCGCCCCAGGCGCCTGATGGATCCTGATAGGTTCCAGATGGAGCTTGGGCCATTTCCTGAGACTCTGGCTCATGACTCAGCTGAAGACCTGGTGGCCGCCTGGGATAGTGCGGCCGCCGGGGCTTTGGACCGCATCGTGCCTTTGCTGCCTCTGACCCGGCACAGAACTCACCTAGCTCCTTGGTTCTCCGAGGAGCTGAGGGAGATGAAGCGCCGGAAAAGACGCCTGGAGAGTAGTTGGAGGACAAGCCGTTCCGAATCCGACCGAACACTGGTGAGGTCTCATATTAAGACCTAACTAGTGGGATTAAAGCGGCGAAATCCAGCTATTTTGCCCTTCTTATCGCGTCATCAGATAATCGCCCAGCCACCCTGTTTAGGGTGACCCGCTCCATCCGGAAGCGCGGGATGATCCCTTGCAGGGTTGAGCTGAGGATTTTGTGCAGTATCTGTATGACAAGATCGCTCAGATTCGGGAAGGCCTGGCCTCTGACTGGGTAAGTCTGGATGGGATGACTGAGGCAGGTCTTGAGAGTGTTATCTGGAGGAGTTTGATCCTGTGGCTCCCGAGGATGTGGACAGGTTCCTGGGACGGCTGAACGCGACCACATGTTTATTGGACCCGTGTCCCTCCTGGTTGGTACTGGCTTCCCGGGAGATTACACGAGGTTGGCTCCAGAGGATTGTTAACACTTCTCTGAGTGAGGGGGTCCTGCCGACCACTTTGAAAGAAGCGGTGGTGAGGCCCCTCCTCAAGAAGCCCTCTCTGGATCCGGCTGTTCTGGCTAACTATCGTCCAGTCTCCAACCTTTGCTTGGTTGCGAAAGTTGTTGAGTGTGTGGTGGTGCGGCAGCTTCCCCAGTACCTGAATGAAGCTGTCTATCTAGATCCGCTCCAGTCCGGCTTCTGGCCTGGGCACAGCATGGAAACGGCATTGGTCGCGTTGGTGGATGATCTCTGGAGGGCTCGGGATAGGGGTTGTTCCTCTATCCTGGTCCTGTTAGATCTTTCAGCGGCTTTTGATACCATCGACCATGGTATCATGTTGCACCGGTTGAACGGGCTGGGAGTGGGGGGCACCGTTTTGCGGTGGTTCTCCTCCTACCTCTCTGACCGGTTCCAATCTGTGTTGACGGGGGCAGCGGACGACCCCGAGGCGTCTTGCTTGTGGGGTGCCACAAGGGTCGGTCCTCTTGCCCCTTCTGTTCAACATTTATGTAAAGCCGCTGGGTGAGATCATCCGTGACTTTGGGGTGGAGTTCCATCAGTACGCTGACGACACTCAGCTGTACATCTCCATCCCAGGCCACTCCAACAATGCCCTTGAAGTGATGTCCCAGTGCCTGGAGGCCGTGCGGGCCTGGATGGGGAGAAACAGGCTCCGACTGAACCCTTCCAAGACCGAGTGGCTGTGGCTTCCGGCGTCCCGATATAGCCAGCTGGTGCCATCGCTGGCTATTGGGGGCAAGTCACTGGCCCCCACGGAGAGGGCTTGCAACTTAGACGTCCTCCTGGATGCACAGCTGTCTTTAGAAGAGCACATGACTGCCGTGGCCAGGGGGGCTTTTTGTCAGATTCGCCTGATACGCCAGTTGCGTCCCTTTCTGGATCGGGACTCCCTACGCACAGTCACTCAAGCATTTGTCACTTCCCGCCTGGACTACTGCAATGCTCTCTACATGGGGCTCCCCTTGGGGTGCACCCGGAGGCTGCAGTTAGTCCAGAATGCGGCCGCGCAGGGATTATGGGAGCGACGGGGTGCTCACATATGACACGTCTCCTGTGCGAGCTGCACTGGCTTCCTGTGGTCTTCCAGGTGCGCTTCAAGGTGTTGGTGACCACCTTTAAAGCGCTCCATGGCTTAGGGCCGGGGTATCTGAAAGACCGCCTTCTGCCGCCAATAGCCTCCCACCGACCGGTTCACTCACACAGAGAGGGCCTCCTCAGGGTGCTGTCGGCCAGACAGCGCCGGCTGGTGACCCCCAGGGGGAGAGCCTTCTCTCTGGCAGCACCTGCCCTCTGGAACGACCTACCCCCTGAGATACGCATGATATCAGACCTCCGGAATTTTCGTTGGGCCCTGAAAACACACTTATTCCATCTAGCCGGGCTGGCTTGATCCCATCCTCTCAGTTTTAATTGAATTCGGTTTTAATTGGGTTGTTTTAAATCTTGGGCCGAAATTATTTAATTGTTTTTTAAACTGTTTTTAAATTTTATATGCAATGTTTTATCTCGGCTGTACACCGCCCTGAGTCCCGCAGGAGAAGGGTGGTATAGAAATAATAAATAAAATAAAATAAAATAAAATAATAAAATAAAATAAAATAATAAAATAAAATAAAATAATAAAATAATAAAATAAAATATAATAAAATAATAAAATAAAATAAAATAATAAAATTAAATTAAAATAAAATAAAATAAAATAAAATAATAAAAAAATAAAATAAAATAAAATAATAAAAAAATAAAATAAAATAATAAAATAAAATAAAATAAATAATAAAATAAAATAAAATAAAATAAAATAAAATAATATAATAATCAAATAAAATAATAAAATAATAAAATAAAATAATCAAATAAAATAAAATAATCAAATAAAATAATCAAATAAAATAAAATAAAATAAAATAATAAAATAATAAAATAAAATAAAATAAAATAAAATAATAAAATAAAATAAAAAAATAAAATAAATAAAATAAATAAAATAAAATAAATAAATAAAATAAAAAAATAAAATAAAATAATAAAATAATAAAATAAAAAAATAAAATAAAAAAATAAAAAAATAAAATAAATAATAAAATAAAATAAAATAAATAAATAAAATAAATAATAAATAATAAAATAAAATAAATAAAATAAAAAAATAAATAAAATAAATAAAATAAAATAAAATAATAAAATAAATAGATAAATAGATAAATAAATAAATAAAATAATAAAATAATAATAAAATAAATAAAATAAAATAAAAAATAAATAAAATAAATAAAATAAATAAAATAAAATAATAAAATAAAATAAATAAATAAAATAAATAATAAATAATAAAATAAAATAAAATAAATAAATAAAAAAATAAAAAAAATAAAAAAAATAAAAAAAATAAAATAAAATAATAAAATAAAATAAAATAAAATAATAAAATAAATAGATAAATAGATAAATAAATAAAATAATAAAATAAATAAAATAAAATAAATAATTTAAGCCCTACACCAAAAATAAGCCCCAATGAAGAGGCGTGGCCAGTACAGGATGCAGCCCTTCCCTTCCCTGGTCACCTCATGGAGGTTTGGCCTCTTAATTCCAGCCCTATGGATCAGCTGAGCTAGTGAGGGCTGGGAGCTGCCTCTCATTTTGTCTTGCCTGGAGTTCAGGTTTTGCTCAGGCTGCTACTATGATGTGGCAGAAAGCCATGCGGTGCATCAGAATAGGCCCCCACCCCCCCACCCCTGCTCAACTGCTGGACCTGTTTTACCTGCTGCTGCTGGCCTCAGCCTCCTGGCTGTGCTGCTCTCAGTAGCCCTGCTGGGCTGCTCCTGGCTGTGTGGCAATTTGGCCCAGATTTCCAGAGCATCTTCCCTGCTGCCAGCCTGCCAGGGCCCCCTTTGGCAGCGGTTGTGCTGCCCTGTGTGAGCTCCATGGTGGTGTTTCAGTGATACGGAGGAGGGAGGGGGAGATCGCCCCTTCCTCCTTTGCACCCCAAAACACCATCTTCCCTGGCTGCCGAGTCCCTGGCCTGCACCCCTCTTGCGGAGCAAGATGTGCAACTCGATGTTATCTGTGGAGGCCTCTCAGTGCAATGCTCTGCTGCAGTTTCAAAGGAAACCTCTGCCTTCCCTGCACAGGATTGCAAGGCTGGAGGCTTCAGAGGGATCATTTTTGGGATGTGCATCTGTGCAGGGTTCCCCATGGAAAGGACGATTGGCAGGAAAATGGGGGGGGGGATTTTCCTGCTGATTTTCCAGCCCAGCAGGCCGGCCAAGAGCAGCGCTGCCAGGAGGGTGAAGAGCCCCCATGAGGCCAGCAGCAGCATGGGCAGCTGCAGACAGCCCGCCATGGCTGAGAAGTGTCTCAGCAGTAGCTGAGCTAGCAGGCAGGGCAGGTGGAGGCCAGGGCATGCCAAAAGCTTGGCCCATTGCAGCCACAGGCAAGCAGACAGTGGGACGGAGAGGGTGGAGCCAGTGGTAACTGTGCTCCCACTCCTGTTGGCCCCCTGCTCTTTGCCTCCTGCACATCAAAAAAATAAGACCTCCCTGAAAATAATCCCAAGTGCTTATTTTCAAGCCCAAAAGAAAATAAGACCGGGTCTTATTTTTGGGGAAACACAGTAGTCCTCAGGTTGCAAGCACTCATTCAGTAACTGTTCAAAGTTATGGTGGCACTGAATGAGTAGTACTTATGACTGGTCCTCAAAATTCTGGCCATTGCAGCACCCATACAGTCACATCATCATGTTTGGGTTCACACTTAGGACCATTGCAGCCTCCCCTGATTGTCATTTGCACCATTCCCTGTCAGCCTCTCACAAGTAATGTGAATTGGCAAGCTGGAAGGGAAAGTTGTAAATTACTCCTGTTGCTTTTTCTCCCAAGGACCCTCCTAGAGAGTACAATATCAAGCACCTCCCCCAAATCATCCTGCTTGTGCTGTGTAGCAATCATCCACAACCCTGCTGACCTGCCTGCAGTCCCCCATTATCCATAGCATCTGCCCATGACCCCCAATGGAGTGTACATGACCTCTGCCAATCTGCTTATGCTCCAAAGAGCCTGCCACCAACAACCTATTTGCACCACCCACAGCCAGGCTGGCTTCCCTGCCCTTGTGGACTTCGGGTTGCTACACATTGCTTAGCAATGGAAATTCAAGATCCAATTGTTATTGTAACATGAGGACTGCCTATAGGTATTTTTTAGCATATAAATTGATAGATAAAATATTGAAAATAGTCATTTTCAATTTGATAAGGAGACTATTAATTAATCTGTCATTTCCAGTTTGTGGCTCTTGGAATTCTTTGCTTTTACATTGAGCATTGATTTTTTTTGATGTGGAGACAAAAGCTGTCTTTCTAAAAGACATACATTCTCTTATTAGGTGATACTATCAATAAGGAGGATCTGTACTTTTAACTCATCTTTTTTGTAATTTATGAATGCACCTCTGATAAAGGTAAGGGATGGAAAGGTGGGGAGAATTTTAAAAAATTGTGAATGGGCTTCTGGTTGGCTACATTTATGTATTTAGTTAAATGAATGTGCCAGCTTACTTACTTTCTATTCTTGATTCTCTCTGCTAGCCCGAGGAGATGACAAGATTGAGAAGCATGAATAGGCAGCTCCAGATAAATGTAGACTGTACTCAGAAAGAAATTGACCTCCTTCAGTCTAGAGGTAGATGTTTTCAATGATTTTCTGTATCTGAAATGCATTGATATGGAGCTTTATGTAAGAATTTAAGAGGTTTTATGAATATTGTCTTTTCCTATCATAGTCATAGAAAGAAAGATAATCCAATCAATTTTCTTTTTACTAGATGTATTGTTTTGATACTTTAGTGAAAATGTATTTGCCAATATTGATTCTGTATCATTTAAGTGACAGAATTTGCAAGCATTCTTCATTATATATGGGCAGTTTCCAGAATAGCAAGGCTATATGACTTTAAGACACTGTTGTTTGCTGCATTTCAATATCGTTTCATGTCAAAAGCACACTTAACCAGTAACTTTTTTTACCTCTTAAACATATATCCTGTTCAAAATACATTATTTTCTGCTTTTTATTAATAGGAAACTTTGACCTGAAAGCCATGAATAATTTTTATGATAATATAGAGCCTGGTCCTGTTGTGCCGCCAAAGCCATGTAAAAAAGGTGAGTCACTACACAAATGTTCAAGATGTAGTTTGTTTCTGGTATTTTTTTGTAGAGGGATTCTTATATTAGAAGGAAGGAAATTAGATGTACTGTATATGTTTCTTATGCACAACTACCATATTTTTCGGAGTATAAGACGCATCTTTTTACCCCCAAATAGAGGGTGAAAATCTGGGTGCATCTTATGGTCTGAATGTAGCGCTGCCCACCCACCGGCCTTCACCCTTCGGACATTTTCAGGCAGTTCCAGGCAGCAGGGATCTGGGTCGGGGCACATCCTGAGGAACAAACCTCTTCGGGACGGTCTTGGGGGGGGGGAAAATCTGCCTGGCAGCTTCAGGGAACAAGACGGGCCCCATGGTTTGCGGCTGGTCACCCCTCTGGCCGCCCAGTGGGCAGCTCAGGACAGACAATGGTCGCGATGACTTCACTCCCCAGCAATGTGAGGAGCCGCCGCCTAAGCCCTCTCTGCGTCTAGGAACTGAGCTGAGCCGAACGGGAGCCCCTAAAGTGAAACGTCCCTCCTTTCCAGCCACCGCTGCCCGTTGGCCAGATTCCCCAATGCAATTCTCAGAGCCGCGTTTCACTGCAATGTGCAGCGGGGAACCAGGAACCATTTTGGATTCGGGGAGGGGATTGCAGCACTGCCGCCTAAAAATGCTTTTCTTCCCATTGCACATTGCAGACCCGCACACCCTCGTCCTCCTTCTCAGCAGACTCACCTTCTCTTTCCTCCTGGCCAGATCCGCTGCCTGAAACGTGATGTACTTTTTTTGCCTCTGCACACCCCATGTTTGAAATCAGGAAGGGGATCGCGGGTCTGCCGCCCGAAAACGCTTTCCTTTGGAATCGGGATAGATTCCACCCAAATTTAGTGGACTCTGGGCAGTGTACAAAAATAGAAAAAAACATAAAAACAACGGATAACATTAAATCAGACAAACACCCCTGTATAAATAATCCAATAAACAACAAAATAAAATAGGGACCTTAAACAAATAATAAACATCAAACCCAGACCTGGCACCAAAGCAAGGTGTTCAAATCTTTCCTGATCCCTAGGAGAGAGAATGTCATCCTTACCCCTGGGGGGAAGCTGTGAAGAGGATGGTGGCCACAACAGAGAAGGCACAATTCCTAGGTCCCACAAGATGACAGCAGTTAATGGTAGGAACCTAGAGTGCATCCATTCTGCTGAAATGTACTGGGCAGACAGAAATGATTATAGACAAGCAGTCTCTTAGTTATCCTGATGCTACCTTTCTGGCATCAAGCCCTATGCCATATATGGCTTTATAGGTCCTCTACCTCACACATTAGTCATCTCATTATATTTGAGTAGAAGTTATAGAAATAGTAATTTACGGAAGTATAAATATTGTTGCCACGTGGCCATATTGTACAAACTATGATCCTTGGAGAGAAAAATAATGCAGTTTAAAATATATTAAATATTGCTACAAGTCAGTTTGCTAATTATGTTCAAATGAATGGAGACTCTACATTATATATAATCTAATTGTGCATATATAAATGTTGAATAGTTCACCCTTTTGTAGAAGATAAAGGCATTTATATATGATTTTCCATGCATTTTGTGTAGTATTTTCAAAATCTTTAATTAATTAGGGTAAAATATAGGAAATACTTTGTTAGATTGTAAAATAAATGTTTAATCAAAATCAGCCAAAAGACATGGTAATTAATATAATTCAGTAACATGTTAGAGTAATGTTCTGGACCATTCTTCATATTACTATGCTCCTAATAGATATTAGTACCCTGTTTTCCCCAAAATAAGACATCCCCTGATAATAAGCCCAATCAGGCTTTTGAACGCATGGCAATAAGGCCAAGCGCTTATTTTAGGGTTCAAAAAAATATAAGACAGGGTCTTATTTTCGGGGAAACATGGTAGCTAAAGTAAGAATGTGTCATACCCACATTATAAATTGTTTGAACTCAACACATTGTTTCTTAGAAACAGTTCTAGTATAGGATGTTAAAATACATCGTAGTAATTTTCTCTTGTTGGAATGATTTTGAAATTTAGTCTGGTAGATCTCATACTATCTACCTCAAATGACAAAATTTGGCAGAAAAGAATATACTGTATTTTTCGGAATATAAGACACTCCGGAGTATAAGACGCACCTTAGTTTTTGGGGAGGAAAATAAGAAAAAAAAATTCTGCCTCTGCCTACCAGCATCCATCGGTATTCATCAGGCTAGCGTCCTGTCAGTGTGTGAGAGAGAGTTGAGGGCTGTTTGGAAATTGAAACAGTATTTGCTGTGTGAGAACAAGGAAGGACACAGCAAGGAGCCTGGGCATGGCTTAGCTCAACTGTTCTAAAGCTGCATGCTGTGCTGATCTCTGAAACTGAAACTCCTCTCCTCTACTTGTGTTTTGCTTGTATTTACTACCACTTTGGAACACCTGCTTTTGGTTTTGTATATTTACTTCATGAGTTATATTATATATAAAGAGAAATTATTGAATCCTGCTGAATCAGTTACTTGTGTGTGCTTTCTGGATGTGATTGCTGCTGCAAACTCTGACAGTCCTTGCAGCAAATAGTGAACAGCCAGGTCAGCTTCAGCACATTATTGCAGCCTGATTCAGCACGAGCAGCTTATTGATGGGTGGATTAGCTTCCCGGAATACTCCCAATCAGCTGTTCCAGGCTGGGATTGCCACAGACCATCGCCTCCTCAGTGCCTCGCAGTTTTTTGGGCTACATTTGGTGTATAAGACGCACCCAAATTTTCACCCTCTTCTAGGGGGGGGAAAGTGTGTCTTATACTCTGAAAAATACGGTACATAATTCACATATCTTACTATATTTTTACTGGAGACCAAAATCATACCAATAGAATTTATTTTCAGAATATTGCACTTGGTATGTAGTTAAAGTGTAGTACTGAAGACCCAAATTCTAGTTCACCTTCTGGTATAGAAAACTCACTTTCAATCAACAATGATTATTGTAGAGAAAACAAACAGGCCTTACAGTGTGCTTATACATGAATGCCAAATAAAATATTAATACAAATATTATTATTGACCTATGATGTTTATATATTTAAAAGTATTATGTTTTATAAGAAAAATGATTCTTTGTAGACCATCAAAATAGTTCCAAGCAAGTTCTGCGATCACAGCCAAGAGATGAGGACTTTGAAGGAGCTCCATGGAATTGTGACAGCTGTACTTTCTTGAATCACCCAGCACTGAATCGTTGTGAGCAATGTGAAATGCCGCGGTATGCCTGAATTTATCAAAGTCTACTTTGTATTAAGATGGGCTTTGAGATCTCAGCCATAGATGAAAATTTGGGGGATCTTTTAGTTCCCTACCAGGTCATTTTCAGTTTTTGAGAGAAAAAATTCCTTTTCATTCATGCTGCACTAAAGATTAGTTTATGGAAACATACTCTTATCCCATGGTGGTAAGAAAGTTTGAAAGGATATTCTGAATCCAAGATTTATTTTCTTTTAAGAATATATGCAGGAAAACAAGTGATTACTGTTGTTCTAGCCCCCATAATTACATTTGCTTGTTAGTAGTCCTTACATATATTTTTATAAGCATTGAACAATTACTTTGTGAAGTGTTACAGGTATGCAGACAAACTATGAAGAATCAGAGCTGATCTGGCCAGAGCAAGCTGGAAAACAAGAGCTCCCTATGTTTCCAGACTGTAAAACTGAAAAAGGGGGAATCAAAGAACAGAAAAGGATAATCTGAAATGCTGTTTTTCAGGGTAAATTAAGTCTACACAATTGCTGTTTTGATATTGTGAATTGTGATGAGGAGGGAAAAGTACTGTACAATCTTATTTATAGAGTACAATCAGAAGTGATTTTACAGTCCCTTTTGCTTGTACAGCACTCACCAAGTCATGCTAACACTGGTAGTTAAATAATTATTACCATATTACACAGGAAAAATAGTGCTGCATGCTTTCATTAGGTCTTTGTGTTTTAAAGCTAAAAAGTAAAAGTATACTTTTATAAATTACCAGTATGTTCCCTTAAAACTGCTTGACAGTGGAGTGGACATATACCAAATGCAGAACTGTTCCAAATTCTTTTTGGAAAACTTAAGTTCAGCCATTAATAGTATAAGAAATGTTTGCACCCTCTTTCTTAGGCCTTTCAGCTTCCACTTATGTGAATAATTCATAATGTTTACAGCACAGAAGGTACTTTGTGTCCCCATTCTGATTTTGCTGAAAACCACTAATCAATATGAGCTCTCCAATAAAGTTTATTTGCACATTGTCAGTAAACTAACTTGTATTAATTAGTATGAGTGGTGGTTTTTGAAATGTTGCACATTGCATTTTGGTGTGATCCTTAGACAGTTAAAGGGTATAGAGAATCCAGAAATGGTATAGAGAATCCAGAAATTGAATTGTACTAGTACCTGTATGAATATGCTAATCATGAATAGGATATTTTATTTGTGAGTGCTTCAGGATACTGAAATAAAGCAGTCTTCTGAGTTTGAAGTTGAGTCAAAAATAAAATTGTTTATGAATAATCAGAATTCCTTTTTCACACTGAAGAATCACTAGGACAGTGAATTTTACTTCTTACACATTCATTATTCTAGATTTTGCAGGGATTGCAAATGGGAGAATCATATTTTACTTGTGGATATCTTGCTCTTATCTGTTGGTATTATATATGATATAATTTCTGTTCAAATTGAAATATATTGAATACAATAGATGTTAGTCCATAAAATTTTTACAGAAGCTATATGGAATCAAGCTTTATTCAATTAGTCAATCAAATAGAGCTATTACATTAGTGCTCATATTAAGATTATTTTAGTTGACTTTTACACTATAACAAATATGACTGAGAGGTTAAAAGGGAACTTATAAGAATTCTGTATCCCTACTTAAGAGTAAAATTATGAAATTCTTTTCTTTTACCTAGAGAAAAAATTAAGATATGAAGTTGCAAAGACTCTCATGTAAAGTATTCTTTTTAAAGTTATCTATTAAATCACATTAGTATTGCTCCTTAGTATTGGTCATAACTTCATGATCTTTTTAAAACAACCTTCTGCTTGGCACTTAATCAACTACTATAGGGAAGGGAATTGTACTCATTAAGTTCAGAACATACAGTAAATAGCATGTTTGGAGGTATACAGGATTTTAATTGGCAATGAGATACTGTACTTACAGGTTTGTATGAAAGTTAGGCTGAGTTTATCTTAAGGGATTTTTTTTTTTCTGGATTTGGAAAGCACCATCAAAATTTTGATAAACGAATACATAGGAACTTAAGGTTTCCTTATCTTATGTCGTGAGCAGGGAGTTCTTTGGACATGCCATGCTAGGTGAATTCAGTACATTTGCATAATGCCCAGGCTAGATTGTGGAACTAATATAATGTTCAATGATTTACTCATACTTTCATTACTGAAGTAAAAGTCAAAACACAGTTTGTAGTGGAGAAGGTAATACTCTGTTTCCCCTAAAATAAGACATCTCCTGATAATAAGCCCAATCGGGCTTTTGAGCGCATGGGTTAAAATAAGCCCTCCCTTGAAAATAAGCCCTCCCCAAAAATATTTAAACGCATGTGCAGCCGGTCCCTGCCATTTCCTCTGGTTAGGGTTTGGGAGACAGAGCTGGAAATCAGGTAAGATGGCAAGAGGAACCCCGTCTTGCTCCACGTGCCCCAAAATAATAAGATCTTCCCAAAAATAAGGCCAAGCACTTTTTTCGGGATTCAAAAAAATATAAGACAGGGTCTTATTTTTGGGGAAACACTGAAACACATTTCAGTGTTCAAAAGAATCCTTTTACTGGTTTACTTGTAAATGTCCTTTCACATGTAATATAGATGATAGCAATGAAATTAATTTTAATATGTAAGTTCATGTGAATCTATTCATGTCTACATGGAAAGTACCCGGAAATAAGTGAATTTAATCAAAATGGATTTAGGTTATGCCAAAATAATTGCTGATTGTCTAAAAGGTTTCATTAATGTCTGGGTTCCTTATGTTTAATACACAAAATGCACTATAATCCATATAAATTCAGAATGTGTGTGTCTGAGTGGTGGATTCTAAGGCCATCAGGAATTTTTAAAATGCACTACTTTTTAATAATAACTGATTTGCCCTTGCCCATAGATCTTGGTTGAATCTGTTTACTAGAAAGTTCAAGAATACCTTCTAAGTCTCCAAAACCTTTTCTTTATACATGCCTCTTTTGTATTTAATGTTATTAAAATGTATCCTTTCACATATATAAAGATGTCACAATTTTAATTGATAGAATAGTTTATAGCAAGCCAAAATTAAATCCTGTACTTGATTATTTGATGAAAACTATCAAGCTAGCATGTTTGTGTAGGAAGAGAGGGCTAAGAAGAAAAGAGACTGTTTTGTAAAATCTGAGGAGATGTGTATTTCTCTGTGATATGTATGTATTTATCCTTATGACAGATGTGTGAAGCAAATTTAATTTTTAAAGAGCTGGTCTCAGTCATATTATTAAGTCATGTTTTCTCTCAGTTATTGTATGTTTCAGTTCTGTACACTTATTTCCCATCCTTTTTTACTATAAATTCCTTTAAAGTCTCTCGGATTTTACAGACTTGGAAATTAGAACAAAATATTTTAATTTTTTTAAAGAGTACATGAAAAAATTAAATATTTGGTTATGACTTTGTATTCTTGAATTTACAAGCTTCTAAATTGAGAAAGCGTGTAGTGTGGTCTAAATGTGAAATAAATTCACAGTATAGCATGGAATAGAAAGATAGGCTGTCAGTCAACCGAAGACTGAAAACATGCAGAGAAATAAATGCTTATTATAGTTAACATTGTGTCCATGTGTTATATTGTTTTTTACAAATAATCTTTAAAGCTTATCACCTGTGCGAGAAAGGGAATTCTTAATTGGTAGGTTAGTTGAATTAATATAATAGCTTAATCTTTTTTTAGGTTTTTTAAAAATACGTTCTTTAAAACCTGTACACCTATATCTTCTGCTCTATTGAAATCCTGTTAACTTCGGTCACTATAAAACAAAACCATGCTCTTTTTAATTGTAAATAGGGTGTTTTTCTATCATATGGATTTGTGTGTGCTGTGAATGAAAAACTATTATTGCAGATAAAATGTATAAGGTGTTAAGAGGCTGTCCATGCATGATTTTCCAAATAACATATACTGAACACTGCAGTTGCCAACCCAATAAACTAAGAAAATGTAACATTCTGCTTTTGGTTTTATATGTAGCAAGAACTTGCAGTTTCTTTTAAATCTTTCATCTTAAAATAGAGTATCCTTATAGGTGTATTGCATTTTTTTTCAAATATAGATTCTTTTCTTCGATCTCTTTAGTGAACTTATTGTCAGCCTTTCTTGCATGTTAAGCCACAAATGGTGGTCCTATGCAATGGAAAATTAGAATTTTCTACTTTATTGTCTTCATCTTTTATACATCTCATCATACCTGCTTTGGTTTTTAGTTGTCCAAAAGATATCTATAATATTTTTTAATTTTTTTTAGCAAGAATTTATATGGTTAGACAAAGAATAGCTTGCTTTTATGTAGCCACTTAAACAGGTATGGAACTTCATTCAGCCAAGACAATCCATTCAATATTGCTTCAAAAGTTTAGATGGTTTTAAGGGGAATTAATGGCATCACTTTAGTTTAACAATTCCTGATTAAGGCTGGAGCCTGCAGATAGGAAGCCACTATTTACACAAAGAAAAATTATTTTATAGAAGACAGGAACAAAACAACTGGAAAGAATCACCTAACGGTAGTCCTAGCCACACTGTTGGTTTTTCTTCATAGAAATAAGCAGGATCACTGGTAGTGGTTTAACCTGCATACTGTTCCGATTCAGTGGAAACACTGGATATCCCTTAAAGATATATAGAATGGATTGTAGTGATCTGCTTACTCATTTAAAATGTTTGGGCAGTACTCTGCATTTCAGTAGCAGCTGGATTCCTACTGGTGGTTGCCTCTTAAGGAAAACTATAATTAATTAGGTAATTAAGAATAAATTAAATGATCCTTGGTGTCCTTTCTAATCGAGTGGGTTCCACTTACCTTTGCTACTGGTTCGCAACAGGAGCCCGCTTGCGCGTGATGCTTCTGTGCATGCGCAGAGCGTCCGTGATGACGTCTGGGTGGGTGGGTGGAGCCTCCTGCTGCTGTTATTACCGGTTTACAAGATCCGTATCGAACTGGTAGCAACCCACCACTGTTTCTAATGATTTGTGTCCAACATATATGAATTCCCTTAAACATGGTTCCCCTCTTTAAAAACAATTAAAGGCTAAGTTACTAACATACATACTGTAAGATAAAATATCACATCCAGTGTTTACTTTAAACAGGTATTATTTGATATTGAAGTAATTTTGTTAAAGTTGTCTAGCTCTTGTAATGTCATGTCATTATAGTGTTTGTGAACTAAGCGATCATATTTTGGTGACTATACAACTTACCTTACAATATATACTTCCCGGCCTGTTTAGATCAGCTTCAGAAAAGCAAGTTTACTCTAAGTGTATACAGTGCTAACTTTTCTTGATTCCTTACATATTTTTATTCAGGTATTCAACTTACATCCTATTTTGTTTTACATGTGAATTTTATTTGTATATTCCCTTAGCTTCTTTTAAAAAGTAGGCTATATCCAGTGCCTCTCCATACATAATTTGCTACCATAGACTCCTTGACACTTTTT